CACTATAGCTCTGAGGGCATCCATCGTGGACCTCCCCTTCCTAAAGCCATACTGAGCCGGGCTAAGCCTAGACTCCACAACCTTCTCCAACCTCCTTTTGAGCACCTTCTCGACGATTTTCCCCGCAAAGTCAGTGAGACATATCGGCCTGTGTCCCCCTCCGCTTTTAGGTATCAGCACGAGCCTGCTCTGCTTCCATATCTTGGGGTATATACCCGTTTTAATCGCCTCGTTCAACACCATGGTCCAAGCCTCGGGGATTATGGTCGCCGCCTCCTTCACCACCCTCGCGGGTACCCCATCCGGCCCTGGCGCTTTGTCATTCGGTAATGTTTTCGCCGCTTCCACTACTTCGTCATCCGAGATTACCCACTCCTCTGCGTCCGACTCCGCCGCGTCCACGTCTTGTCGTAGATCGGGGTGTGTCGGGAACAGGCAATCCACTGTTTCCACAAATGCCTCGTCGGTCCATCCTACCTGGGCGGTTTTTCTTTGCACTTTTTTTGTTACGATCTGATAACCCCTCCCCCAAACGTCGTTATCAAGGTCGTCACAAAGTAATTTCCAACATCGTTTCTTACTGTCCTTAATCATGCCTCGCAATTCCTTGCGTGTCTTCTGCCAGTCCTCCTTCTCTGTCTCTGCAGCTCGTCCTGCTCTAACCGCTCTCTGGTGGCTCCTCCTCCTCGCGTTGCACTGCCTCCTCTGATGAGCAATTTCTTCTGTCCACCAGAACACAGCTCGCCGTTTGACCGGCCGGCGCTTTGGCATCGATTCATCGCAGATCTTATGGAGTAACTTTCCAATACTCTCCGCGTTCCACTGTTGATCCACCTCATTTTTCCCCTGTATGAGAGCCTCCCTCAGCGTGATCTGGTCCAACTTGTTTAAGTTCCAAGACCTTTCATTTACCACTCGCGTCCCCTGTGCCACCACCCTCGTGGGCTCACAACACTCCCACACAATATAATTGTGGTCACTGAGCGAATCGATATCTAGCACCTTCCATCCGGTCACCCGATTGCCCAGTCCTTCTGCTACCAGCGTGACATCAATAATAGACCCCCTTCCTCTCCCTTGAAACGTCGGTGCCGTACCCTCGTTCGTACACACCAGGCCTAGCGACTCCGCCCATTCCTCCACCAGCTCCCCCCTAGCGTTCGTACACGGCGCCCCCCACATCGGGGAAGCCGCATTAACGTCCCCTGCGACTACCGCCCTCCCCGCGCCATTCGCTCTTATCACCCTCTGCAGTTCGTCTAATTCCATCTGCATTTGCGTTAACGGCTCGTTAGGGCTCATGTATACGCTGTATAGCACGATGCCTCCAACCCTAGCCCACACATATCCTAGTCCTTCCCCCACTTGTTCCACGCACAGCCTACCCCTGATCATGATTCCCACCAGCCCACTATTGTCCTTAAAAATATCATGTCCGTACGTGTCTCTCCCCACCTCTGATAGCACCAGCACGTCACCACCCCTCTCGTCTGCCACCCGTACTGCCAGGTCCAGGGCCACCCTTCTCCTGTTGAGGTTAATTTGGATGACCTTAATCCCCATTGTTAGATCTGGTCTCCGTGTCCCGGTCCTGGTTCTCATCCTCTTGCCCGATAGCCACGCCCTGTCGTGCCGAGGTATCGCCACCCTGTGATCCGCTGGCCATCGTCTCCGCCATTTCCGATTTCCTTGTCTCATACATGCACTGCCTTGTGTAGGCCCTGTGCCCGACCCCCAGGCCCTTCGCCAGTCCCTCGCATTTTTTGCACGTTGCTTCGTTACTGCACTCCCGCGCATAGTCCGGCGTTCCCGCAATTATAGCATTGCGCCCTGCGGTCCTCCCCCCTGCACGCGTCCGCGATGTGCCCAACCTCCCAGCATCGGTTGCACCGCACTAGGTCCTGGCTAATCCTCACCCTACATGAGGTTAGCCCCACGAGCAGGTACCCCCGTGCTAGTATTTCCTCCGCCGCTTCACGGTTGGCGTGGACGTACGCCACCTTCTGCCCTCTCTCAACCGTAATCATGCTCTTAATCCTGCATCTTGCTCCTGACACCGTTTGGATGATGGCACCCAATACCTCATTCTCCGTTGTGACGGCGTCGAGGTCCCTAACCACAAGCGTGCAGTTGTCCTCCAGCAGGGTTACCTCCCGATCGCTAATTGCGGCCTTGATCTTAGAAAGAACCGGCTCGGCTTTCCCCGCTCCCTTCTCAACCCTGAGTAGAATGTCCCCACTCCTCGTCCGCGATATACTCTCTATCTTTGTCGACACTCCGGACATATCCGTCTGTCTAATTCTCTTCAAAATGTCTTCCATATGATTTTCCCCTTTTAGCTTGACAAGCACCGCCTCCGCCCTTCTGTTCCTGCGCCTCGCTCCCGTGCCGGTCGTTCCTTCGCTACCACTCCCCGATTCCACCTTTCTTCGCGGCCTTCTCTTCCCCTGGGTCTTCCACTCCCCCCTCAGTGTCTGTTCCCGTCTCCCGTTCAGATGTGGTCCCCACATCGACCAGCCTCACTCTCTTCTTCCTCTCCTCGTTCACCCTTTCAACAACCCCTCCGCTCGGCTGCAAAACTGTGCTCGTCCTTTCCAGCATGACCACCGGTTCCCGCAGAGCTCTACCCCCGGTCAGGGCTGTGGCGTAAGTCGCCTCGCGTCTTCTTGCGCTCTCCCCTTTAACCGGACTGGTACCCGCGTCGCGCGTCTCCTTCGGGGACATCCCCGTCGCCGTACTGGTCTTTCTCCCGCCGGACCCGTGAATCTCATCACCCCTTAGCGAAGCCACTTTCAGTCCCGCCACGTACTTGGCCCACTTATTCTCCGCCATTAGCCTATGATTCTCTAGCCTAGTAAACTCTTTCTTGATATCATTAATTAGCCCCTTGAGTACGTTGTTCGTGTTAGTGGATTTCTTCCCGAATTCCACTGCCTCGTTAATAGTTTTCTGTACCGACGCCGCCAGTATTGCTCCCTCAGTTTGAAGCTTTCTGATATCCCCCAGGTCGCTCATGGTAGATTTCGGTGACACGATAACAGTTTCAGTGTCGTACCCGCTAGCACGTCTTGGCCTTTTCGTCTGATTTCGCTCCGACCCGTCCGTGTCGCTGTCAGTGCTCGATTCCGTGTCCTCCCGTTTCCGCCTCCCCTCCATCGGCGTCTCGGGGATCACCTCCTCGTTGTCATTACTACCCGTCGGCGCTTCCCTTAAGGGTGGGGTCCGTAACGTCTTCGGCTGCCCAGCCCACTGAGCGTACATCGCGCTTGCACTATTGTCCACGGTGTTCTTGTCTATAACCTAATCCTAAACTTATGGCTACTACTCTATATACAAGTTTTATATTTACACTCAACGCTTCAGTCCACTACGCGCAGGGGTTGTTCTCGCCCCCTCGAGTGGGGTGTCGTAATACGCGGAATTGGACAACGAGTCCAGCCCCGCTTACCCCTCGTCAATCTGACCGCCCGTTCCGTCTGTACAACCCTATCAGTTAACCTAACCTAACCTAACCTAACCTAACCTAACCTAACCTAACGTTTTTCGATAGGACGCGCCGTTTACAAAAAATTAATTTTTTTTTTTTGGAGATCCTAACCCAAGCCGTAAAATTCTTATTTATATATGACCCTGAATGTTTTAAGCGTCGTCGGGGACTCTTTCGACGAGATCTATCGATCGACGTTTGGTAATCGAAAATCGGTTCGCAAATAAAAAAGTTTTTTTTTTTCGTTTTCCCTTGGTCCCCCCTTTGACGTGACTGGAAAAAATTTTAGGTCCTCGATTTTTTTCAAAATTTTATCGATCGTTACCCCTTGCCGCGGACGTCATAAATATGCGATCCGTTCCTCTCCGGCCAGAACGGCCTTCGAGAAAAAAATTGTCGAAATTTTTGACAAAAGTTGCTCGTTTTTGAACTGTAATTTCGACGTTATCTATGGACCGATTGTAAAACCGTAAGCTGCGCCGTGTGGCCCCGTGATTCCCCAATCGAACGGTGATGGATTGTGCCCGATCCGTTATCGGGTTCCGAAGTTATTCGGGAATGGGTGCCCGGTGACGTTTCGGGCCCTGGCCGCCTAACCGTTTCGAATCTCGAATGACCCAAAGGGTCCGTAGACGCGCCCCGAATGTGGCTTTCGTATTCCACCCTAAAATTGATAATCTATTAACTCGCTAGTGTTAACCTAACGCACCCCGGACAAAATTGGGTGTTTTTTTTTTACACTTTTGATCGACTTTGAATTGTAATTCCGACGTTATTTATGGACCGATTGAAAAACAGTAAACTGCGCCGTGCGGCCCCGTTATTCGCCTATCGAACGGCGGCCGAACGCGCACGACCCGTTATCGGGTTCCCGAGTTATTTAAGAATAAGTGCCCGAAAACGTTTAGGTCCCTGGCTCGTTTCGCATCTCGGGTGACCCGAAGGGTCCGTAGGTGCGTCTTGAACGTGGCTTTCGTGTTCCGCCCTACGATTCTTTTGTATTTCGGGGCGGTTACCTAACGCTAGCCCTTTTATTACAATAAATCCTCGATTCTATTGCCTCCGATATCCGAATTTCAATTTTAAAAAGAAAGTTGAATACACGTTCGCCAAGTGGGTGCACATGTTCGTCAAATGTCGGTTGCTATGTTAAAATTTGGTTGTTATGGTTGCAAGTGTTGCTAATCAACAAAACCTAATTTTTCATCTGATTAATTAGAAAATGAATACTGTACATTTGCCTGAAAACGTACGAGAAAATGCTAACGAAGCTTTTAAGTCTCTAATTCCAACTAAATCGAAAGTTCGATATGAAAAATATTATGCCGATTTTCAGGACTGGGGAAAAGACGATCAATTTCTCATGTGCAAGGTACAAACATGTCAGAAACTAACGCATATGCTTGACTTGTAATGCTTTTTCTAGGTAGCAGCCGTTTTTGGCATTAATGCCACATAATAAAAAGGACAAGCTTAAATGTATTGAATATATTTAGTTTTAGTATAAACAATATCAAAATATGGCATTTATTTATCAGCTGCAAAACAGGGCGTGGAACAGTACAAGTTTTGATTTTTAAATAACACCCTCGTCCCTAACAATACTTTCTTACACATTTTACAACAAAAACAGTCATCGTTAGCATGAAAATGGACCCCATTTAAATTGGCTCCCTGCTCATCTGGTTTGATTACCTGCGAACATACCTTGCACTTCTCGGCCTTGATATTTTCAAAGCAGGGTACACAAACTGGCTGTAGCTCCTCCATCACATAATTCTGACCGGCCAGAGGTTTATCGCATTCGAAACAACAGAAATGCTTAACGTGAAACGTTGAATTTTCCGCTAGGCAATACTCCTTGACGAATATCAGTTCGTCACAGGCCTGACAGCGAGGTATACCCTTAATCTTCGCATAATCGCGACCGCAGTAAATCTCGTCGCTTTCGCGATGATAAAAATAGAGCATGTCGGCCAGATTCTGATTGCAGCCGGTGCACTGGAAGCAGTCCGCGTGCCACAGTGCGTCCGATCGATCGATTCCTATGACAAAGTCATCAATGGAGAACATCTTTTTGCACTTGTGACAGTGGGGGAGGATCTCCACATCGTTTAGGTTGAACTGGACATTTTTGCGTGGAATGTCAGGTATAAAGTCATTCTGTCGCTGTTCTGCCTGCTTGACTGAGGGGTATTCGATGTCATTAATTGCACCGACTTTAATCGGTGTTGGTTGTCGAGTTTCTTCTTGGATGTGCAGTTGACTGGGGCTCAGTGGGTTGTAGGTGGAGTACGCGAGGTCTTTGATGTTCATTATTTTTTGGGGGGTTTGTTGATCATATGTTATCAAATTTTCTGAAGCATTCCGTGGGATGTTCGTCGTGCCTAACAGATTTGGATGTGCTGTTAAATTGCTGATGTTGAAATTGACATTTTGGTCGGCGTACACTTCGCAAGTTGTCTTGTCCACTTGATTGTTGATATCAATGTCTTTGCTTGATGGTATACTATAAGGTGAATGATTATGATGTTGCTTAGCATAGGATTGGTTGGGGTAAATTGCTGGTAGAAGTGCAGGATGTGATTTGTTTTCATTTTGATGTAGAGTACCCTGCATCGATGCATGCAAATCTTTTGGCAAATTAATATTGACAGGGGTCTGATTATCGATGTGCTGAGGATATGGGAGGTTAGGGTAATTGACATTGCAAATGGTATGCTGGGGTCTACCCTCAACATTGGCTACATGAAGCGGATCATAATGTATGTCACGTACATTTGAGATCTGAGCAGGGTTTTGATTATCAACTGTCACCACCACACACTGTGCCGGGTGCAAATCCAAAAGAGAAAGATGATTGAAATTTTTAGACACATCCTCTTCCCCTCGTAATACATTTGAACGATCAGAGCCTTGCAGTACGATGTGCTGTGATTGTGACAATTGCATTGGAATCCGATTCATCTGGTAATGAGGATTCAGACTCTCCCGCTTCTTGAGCAGGTCATTTAGTTTAATTATATGTCCTATGCCTACACTACTCTGCTTCACATGTGCGATGTAATCGTTCATTTGTTTCACTTCACTGTCGCTTAACGCATGGCATAATGCAGGATCGATATCGTGCAATGGTATTTGCTTCTGCAGTAGCTGTTTCCGTTCCTGAGCCGCATATGAACCCTTAATTGGTAGTAAATTCACAGGCAATTCTTTAAGATATAAATCAACTGTGTCGCTTTGTCCTTTTGGCGTCCAATCTAGCTCAACGGCATCTTTACGCCCCGCAAGCACTAACACAATTTCAATTTCAGATCATAAATATCAATACTTTACAAATCTTACCAATTTTTTTACTTTTATTCGGCTTACTGCCTAGCAATTGGAACTGAGCCCAACCGTAAATATCGTCATCATTCACATCGTGATTCTCCTTCCCGCACTTGCAGTTTTTACAAATTTTCCTCCAGAAATGAAGGTCGAGTCCTAAACAGACCATGTAATAAGAGGATCAAGTTAAAGTTGAATCTCACCTGGGCACTTATCTTCGCAAGTCAAACACGGGGAACCTGCTCCTGCTTCATGTCCCAATCTCGCTTTTAATCGCCTTTCGCGTTTTTCTTCCAGTTCTTTGAGCCATTTCGGCACTTCTTCCATGGTCCTTTGTAATTTGTTAAAATTCAAAACCTGCTATCAAGTATCAACAAGTGGTTATGACTAACAGCATTAATCAGAGTAGAAAAAATCGTAGAAGGGGACTGATATCATCCTATCAAAGGCTATTCGCAATAGCACACATCAAGAGAGGGCGCTGTGCTTTGTAAGTATGGCCGCTTGTTTGAGGACAGCTGATTCATTTGTGTATGGATCACATATAAGGTACATTTACATTCAATTCAAAGTCGAATTTCTCTTGATATGTGACAGCTTGTCAAATGTGGTGGCCATACTACCATTTACATAAGCGGAAATTTGAAGCGCACTTCGAAGTGCACTTTGAAGTGGCGCAAGCACGCTTGAAGAATTCAAGCAGAACGTTAAATTTATAGGTTAGTGTTCTTTTTTGACAATATTTTTTGATTGTTTACATTGTTATCCATATCCATAATCACGTTTTAATTAAAGTTCTGCAACTAGGAGATTGTTTTCGTAGCTGGCACAATAGTATTGATACTTTGACTTCCAATATGAATTGTATTGAGAGTGAATCCGAGGTGGTGATAGAAATACCTGAGTTTAATGAAGAATTATTTCTAAAATGCATTTGCAACTACCCTGCGATTTACAACCCAAGCAGCAAGGCATATAGTAACAGAATGTTAAAAGAAACGGCTTATGAAAATATTGCCCGTACCATGCTAACAACTGGTAAGTCAGTACTCGGTACCTAACTGCATGTAGCATAATTATATTGTATAATTTGCAGTCGACATTTGTAAAAGAAAGTGGAAATCACTTAAGGAGAAATACAATCGGGAAAAACATAAATTAGAAATGATGTCTAGAAGTGGTGCTCCTGCATTCCAAACCAATAAATGGCAATTTATGTCATTCTTTGAATATATGTATGATGATGTGACACCAAGGAGGTAAGTTCATAATATCATTACAAATAATTAATAGTGCGATTTTTAGTACGCAGTCCAGTTCATTGAGCGATACAGGTAGAAGGTGAGTTGTGATTAATTATGCAAGTAATTGTAAATAAAAAACTTGTTTTTTTAGTAGTATTGAACTTGAAGAAGCTGCGGATGTGACACTTGTGCCATCTAATGAAATGAGTTCATCTGTATTGCCATCAACTTCAGCTTGCAGTACCCCCCCTCGACGAACACAGAAGCGGAAAATTACCCAAGATAATGGAAAAGATCCTGTAATTGAAATACTTTCCAAAGTTAGCAATTCAATTGAGAAGGTGAGCAACAGTGCAGTAGCCAATGATAAATTCACAGATTTTGCACGGTATTTGTGTGCAGAACTTCGAGAGTGGCCATATGATAAAGCGAATGAATTTATGGATGAAACATTAATTAGATTATTACAAACAAAAAGAAAAATTGTGTAAATGTAAATTCACAAGTTATTTTTATATTCCTAAAATCCTATTTAAATGTGAATTTCAAAATAAATTTTATTTTCTATGTACTACATTATTCAGTTCTTTTTATACAATCCCACTGCCATGGACATAAATCACCCCCAACGCCATTTACATATTCTTTAATGTAGTCACGAAGCTTCCAGGCAGCCTTAGCAGCATTCCGGTTCCCAAAACGTACAGTACCAGATTGAAATGCTGTATTTTCACTGACCATATCTCGCCAACTGCCAGGTTGAATAGTACCATTTGTGTCCCTGTCTACAACTGAACTGTTATAATACATGTCAATTTTCTCACTTTTAATAAAATTATGCAGGCATACAACTGCTTTAACAATTGCATCAACTGTTTCTGGTTCAGCATGTATTTCGCGAAGAAATATTCGAAATCTGGCAACCATAATGCCAAAGGTATTTTCAATGACCCGTCTTCCTCTTGACAACCTTAAAAATATTCAGATATCAACATGATACTTACTATAAACTAACCGATAATTAAAAATAAGTTGATCTTCAGGCATACGTTTCTCCCGTTTGCTGTAAGGTCTTAATAGATTGGTCAGCAAAGGAAAGGCCTCATCACCAATAAAAAATGTTGGAACAGTACAATTGTTGGGATCGTTTGGTAAAGGACAACCTATTGGTAAGTTTAATTGCCCTGATAATAATTTTTGCCCCAAACTGGATTTTCTAAATACACCACCATCACTCTGAGCTCCATAAGAACCAATATCCACATAGATAAAATTATACTTGGCGTCACATACAGCAAATAAAATTGTGCTGAAGTATTTTTTATAATTATAAAATCTTGATCCTGAATTAGACGGGGCTCGGATTCTAATATGTTTCCCATCCATTGCGCCGAGTGTATTGGGCATTTGCCATAAGTTGTAAAAGTCTTGTGTCACTTTTAGCCAGCCCTCTTCTGAAGGTGGCTTTAAATATGTTGGAGATAGAACGGCCCATAAAATATGACATGTTTCCCATACAATGTTACATATAGTTGAAGGATGGACTCGAAATGCATAGGCTAGGCTTGGATATGAGTCGCCTGTAGCAAGAAACCTCAACGTTAGCATCAAGCGAAGCGAAGGTGGTATAGCTTCTCTTGGTGAATGTTTAGTAAGATAATTTCCACACAGCAATAGTAAACGTTCAAATGAGGTGGCGTTCATGCGTGCAAAATTGAAAAACAAGACAGGGTCACTTAGTTGCATCTCTTTAATTAAATTGTTAAATAAGCCCTGTTCCTTTCTTTTCAAGTATATGTCTTTAACCCACATCTTCCTTTTTCGACGTACTTGTTTTTTATTTTTATTTTCACGATCACGAGCTAGCAAGGCTACTGCAACACCCAAAGAACCCAAAATAACTGCTTTATGGAGATTATTATTCATTTCTCAATAACCACAAGACAACTTATAAAATGTAAACAGTAATCAGCTGACCGTTAATTGTGAGGTTAGGAGAATGTAAGGCGCGTGCAATGTAAATGATAGTTTCGTAAATTCTTGTGCCAATTCAACTTTGAATTGAATGTAAATGTACCTTAAGAGATCAGTTGTATTTTACAAACCTTTCGTTTTCGAAATATGCACATTATCAGTATTAGTGACTTATTAACGTATGTGGGTGTTGGCATTCGACCTTTGAAGGAAGGCAAGGCAGTGTTAGAAGCTAAACACATAATATGTGGTTTGTGGTAAACAAAATGATGCGATTGTAGCACTGTGCTTGCAGACCTCGAAATTAACAGACCATCCACATAAAATAACATTTAATTTTCATTAAAGTCAACAAAATCCTCTTGCGAACACAGAAGGTATAGTTCCTATTACTTGTTGCAAACTGTACACTTAAGTATTTGCGATTACGATTACGTTGAACAACGTCACATTGGAAATTCCTGTGCAGAATTTAATTCTGTAGTCATTGTTGATAATGTCTGCAATGCTAAACTCACGCTGATCTGATCTAAATACGTATTTACTTGAACAGAAACGTCCTTATCACAACACATTTCATTAACCAGCTCTTCTTCTTTAGTTTGCGTGTTTGCTAATAAAAGAAGCGTGTCGGCTGCTTCCAAACGCACAGCTTTTTCTAACAGTTGTTGTCGACGGACGTAGCGGTCTTCACGTTTTGCCTTAGTTTCATGATTAACTGCCGATTGATGCCGTGCGCTTACCTGGTGAAATATAATCCTCTTTTGTAAAGCGAGCACTACAAACTTTCATTGTATTTGTTATGGGTTTGTCTATTACTCTATTCGTAAAAGAATTTTTCATTTTTTCCTACTCAGAGCATTTTTGGGGAATCCGTGCATTGAGACACTACACGCGTAATCATTTCTACACTGAGGACTGAGCAATAATGATTACTTTTTGTTATTTTTGTGTATTCACGTTTATTACATACCTACGTGAACTTCCATTTTTATCCTCAAACAGATAGTTCTAAAGTTGACCGCTACGCGGAGACTCTTTAGTGTGCGCTTGCGAATTGCTGCGTGTTGAAGCAAATTTTCGTATGGCGGCCATATTCTTGATGCACCAAACTACTTTCTGGCAATTATGTGATTAATGGATCAGTTTCACTAAAATCAGGAAGAAAACACAAAGATTGGCAATTTGTTGTTGATTACCTCAAAAAATGAACTCATTTATTTTGAGTTTTTTAGCGGTAAATATTGTTTAAATCTTGCTCATTACCAAGGAGATTTTTCCGTAAATAAACAATAAGTATTATTAGAATTATCATTGATTATACACACTATAATCATTGTATACGTAATACATATACATTATACAATGCTATAATCAATGGTATTATTAAATATGTGGTACATTGAAGCAAAGAGTATTAAGTTTATAAACTATCAAGATTCAGATTCAGGTATTCAACAGGCACACTACTCATAAGTCATAACACGGTTTAAGAAGTAGGTGCGACATGGCTCTATTAATCGCATAAATTCAAATGTTATTTCGAACGGAGTTGGTATTAACATTTAATTATAGTTATAAATTCAATGGTATTAATCTGTCTTGCTCTGAGCAAAGATAATAGGCGTTTTCGTTTTACCCTAACCATTATGTATATGTGATGTAATCACATCGAACTTCAGTACTGAAGTGAAGTAGAAAATAAAACGGGTAAAACGAAAGCTTTTCTTTGCTCTGAAGCATATCTATAACGGAGTTACGTACGTGGCGACATCTCAACGAAACTTGTACAAATATAAAATGAAGGAAGGTGTATCGATTACCGAGGAGATGGCGCACTTGTTCCTATTGTACATAGATATATAAATACATAGATACAGCCATACCCCAACATAGTTCAAAAGGACGTACCATCTATTACCATCACTTTCGGCACATTAATTACATATAGCGCTATCCTTTATAGAGGTACCCTGAGCATGGAAGACAAGATTCGCATTATTTATTATAACTGTCAATCAAATTGTTAGCACAAATCACACAGAAAATTATCAGATTGGAGACTTTACAACATAAATAAACCGCCTTTTTATTTATTTAAATCGCATAGCAGCAAGAAATGTTACATTTAAAATGGAAGATGTTACTTAGAAAACTGGCAAATGAAGAATTTGAAAAAATTACACCTGACAACTGGAAGAAAGTGTGTGAACATGTGGAAAGTGATTAATTTAAAAGAGAAGTTATATTTGGTTGATGTTGCTGAACTTTATAATAAGTGTTAATAATGGCAGTGATGATTCGAATTTGTCAATTTCATTTGACGATGATTCGGATTGTGAGCTTTTACAAACGTAATGAATGTTCACTAAATGAGTATTATCACCAATTGGATATCATTGTTAAGATGTTGTATTTATTTTAAATAAATGTACACGTGTAGCTTACTTACTACAATTAGCACTATAATTTCAAAAAGAAACCCCACCGAATGGTCACATATGCCGAAAGGTAGGCAAGACGCGTAGCGACCAAAATTTGATATTGCACGCACACACAGTCTAAAAACTCGTTTTCCTAAGAATATTGGACGGATCCTTCTTTGTGATCATGATACAAACGCACTGCATCAACATCATATAGGCCAAAATAATAATTGGAAACGAATTCTCTTCCTGTCGCAACAATTTCCTTTACCATTACGCCTAAAACCATGCAATTAAAATTAAAATGTTGAAAATAAACTTTACTTACTTACGGTTTATTTGATATTCTGCAAGCCAGCAATGAATTCAATGCAGCACATCATGCCAAACAGGGTAAACATTATCCCAAATTTGAATGGCGTAGTTCGATGTAATAAAACTATTTCAGGAATAACAATTATGGACGTGTCTATCATTATGGCAAGCACTAATGTTATTCGTATTCAATTGATAACGCAATAATTACATAATATTTAGTGAAAAAACCGCCCATCATGTTTAGGGCGAATATTTTTAGTTAGATTGGATTTCGCGCTATCGTGAAATGTGTCAACTGTCACATGACTTATGGGACGCGCTAAGTTTGTTTTAAGCGTCCGATTCGCGTACGACATAGTGGTTAATGCAATAAAAAGAGATAGAACATGTTTCATCTTGGTTAGAAAGTAATGGAGAGATGTACAAATTTCTTTGATATGTTTTTTAAAAACCGAGGTACGTTTGTTAAGGATGGCTGTATCTAGGTATTTATATATCTATGCTATTGTATTACAGTGACTTTATAGAGACAGTGGCGACAATAGAGTGTTTAATTTTTGATTGGTCGTTGAAATCGGTCGCCATTTTGCGTAAAATTTCACGTGTTTCCGGTAATAGATATGCTCACGCGCATTCCCGCGCTTCTATAAACATCACTGGTTGACAAATTTCAAGTACAGGTGCAATGATATTCCTACAAAAAATAGTATCATGACAGATGACAGCCTGACATTAGCGACTTCTGCAGTCAAATGCCAGAGGCAGACGATGAAAAATTTATGTTTCGATGGCCGTGAATTCAGTACCTAATTCATATACCTACACAATTATAAAATGAAGGAAAGTGTAACGATTACCAAG